TAAACTCTTCCTAATCATTAAAAGTTGTACTAAGGTAGAAGGCAAGCGCGATTGATTAAGTCTAATCGAAAGGGTGCAGATTTGGAGAAATCAGCTGTCATAGTCTAAGTAGTCAACAATACATAAAGTTGAAAAAAAGGAAAATTCTATCAACCTGAAAGGAAGCTGTCTGTGATAGAATAACCAATGAGCTTGGAGAATTGAAAGCCCCTCAATAACTCCAATGAAATAGCAAATATGTCTCAATATAGAACATGAATCACTTATATGGACTCAAGGATACTCATATTAGATACCCGAATAGAAATAGCTCCCAATAAGGCTACCTATATATAGCATTCAACGAACGATCCACCCTCTTCCCCCCCCCCCCCACTCCCCATTCGTTCAAGTCCATCATGTTCTGCATAGGTCATTAGCTATTGCATACAAATCATTGTCCCACGAGTGATAAAAAAAGCTATTTATGATGATGGGAATGTGGCAGTGCATTACGGTCAGCAACAAGAACGAGAGACTTGAATGTTTTATTACTCCCTCACCCCCCAAATACGTTGTATGCGTGTGTGTTATACGCTCATCGCAACCTCTATACCACAACTAGTGCTTGATTAATCATTAGGTAAAATAAAGAAATAAAATCATTAAGCGGAAGGTGTGCGAAGACAGAAATACATGCTGTGGAGGTGCACGAAGGTAAACCGTCACAAAATCTCTCCCCCCAACCCCCCCCCCCCCACCTCCACTACTAAAGGTGCGAGGTTAAACTGGGGTCACATGCCGTGGGGATCAGACGAAGTGTCACAAATTACTGACTTGCCGCAAGATACACTATCCTCATTTTCCCGTGTTGTTAAAGTCAGATTGCAAAATCACATTTTTAGATAGTTCAGTAGTAGGTTTAATCTATTCCCAGAGAATTTAAAAAAAAGGAAAAAAATCTTGCCCACCCAAAGTTAAGTGAAAGTTTAACCTACAGACAGTTGACACCAGAGTAAAGCAAAAGTCTGGGGCTAGCAAATGAGTAGGAAGGGATAATCAATATTCCTGGAAAATGAAATTGAGGTGTAAAAGTCCAGACGGATCCATCATCACACAAACTGGTAGATTCCTTTGTCCAGGATGAAAAAGGGAATGACAATTGTATATCAAACCGTTTCCTATGAACCTTCGAGACAAACAAGTAACAATAAGATTCGAGCATTCTAGAGCTACGAGGAAGTAGGACTCCCCTAATTATATTCATAGTATGCAGTCATGTGTTTAGATGTCTCACAGCAGTTATAAAGGCATATATATCGCTAAGACTAATAAAGTCCCCAGGTGCAAAACCGACGTTCGATTGCCGTTCTAAAAGAGTTACCACCGATTACTCTTAGATTACGGTTTTACTAACAAATAAGCTCGGCTTGGTAACCTGATTGCGATCTAACACGAACAAGATTTTCTCTTTTGCTCAAATTGAGAGGATAATCAAAGAGCTGGAAGTGGGGTCATTATCCAATATCCTTCTCATACAAGATCCATCTGCAGGTAACCAAGATACAAAATGATCTTGATTCTAACTAGTCTCATTAGCTTATTGATTGATTCAGATAACCAGTGCAATACTTTGCAAAAGAAATCTGATCACCTGCATTCCGAAAAAAGCTACACAGTGAGGGTGTTTATTGACAACACCGGTAATATGCTAATTATCATCAACGGAACTTAACGAATGTTGATCGAACACTTAGCCTGATTTACATCCAAAGGTGTCAGATTACACAATAGTGGGAAGCAGTTATTCTGAGGTAGAAACAGAGACCAGGAACTTCAACTTTCTCGGTAGCCTGCGTGATGTTTAGGAGCCTGCCTTATGGATATGGCACACTCTTAGTCCCAAAGCATAAATAGAGCACTCAAAACACTAAGATGTTTTCTCACGAGTTCTCTTGATGAGACACATTATGAGGATTAGTCACAAAAAGGTCGTGATGTAGATGGTAGTGAGATCTAGTTGACCTCAAATCGAAAATGCAAGCATGATCATTAACAGGTGAGGAGCAGTATTAGTGACAAAAAAACCAACACTACTAATGACCTGAATTGCACACCCCCAGTTGATGGGTCATTTCAGATCAAAGGTAAAACTGTCTACCACACAAGGTCTACATAATATGAAACAATGGAAGAGGAAGGAGACACTGATAACCAGGAGGAGATCTAGTACAATCTCCAAACTCAAGTTCTAGCAGCCAATCGCATGGAATGGAAGTGTTATCTCTTAAATCGAGAGAGGCGTTGGCATTGAGGTCGCATTTGTCAAGAAAGGAAACTGACAAGCGTCCACAAAACGCGCAAATGAGGTCTTAAGTGAAATTGACGAGGGTAGATTCGTAAGAGAATGCATTAACTACAATCTGTCAAAAGATAATTAATGTCGCCAATTATTCGTACTTTGAGAAAATTCGCGCAATTTTATTAATCGTCCGAATCGATCTACTCAACCACCAATTCGGCTGTGTGGGAAATCGTTTTATTTTCGACTCGAAATCATTAGAGCAGAAAGATGACAAAGAGCATAGATATAGAATTGGCAGTATTGACAACTGAGAATAGCACATTCTCATGCCATCGCATAAAAACTAGAAGCTAAGATGAATAAAAACTCCACATAATTCCATTATTATTGATTACGAATTCTTATTATTTCCATTTGATTTAAAATTCATTGTGAATTCTCCTGAACAGGACTGGTTAATACTGACGGAAAGCGAATTTATCATGAGGACTGCGAATTCGTCTACTCCAAGATGAGCAATGGAAAACATCTCTCCTTTAAAAGAATTCGAAACTATGGCATAAATAAAGATATTGGAGTACAAAATTCGCCAAGCATATCAAGTACTAATTGCATTAGAGCGCAGAGCTCAAGGCGAATGAATTAGCACAGGTATGGATCTATTTTTTGATCACGCAATATGCGAAAAAAATCATCCTAGCAGGCTGTCTTATGGGGGGGGGGGATAGAGAGAGTGAGTATTTAAGTAGATCTCAGATATGTACCTCTCTCTCTGCTAAGCGGGTCAAGTCACGTAACCCGGCTGACCATGAGAAAGCACACACATGAAAGGATGATCTCAAACAGAGATTTTGAGCCTGAGAAATGTGAACGACAGTCGTATTCAGGAAACTTTGCTCTTGATCTCACAAGCCTACATCAAAGCTTTTTTCACGATAAATTTTACCACACAATGAATGACATCTCTCTGATTAAATTAGCCTAACTTACTTGGGAAAAGAGTTACTTCAATTGGCAATCAACCTTTGTTTGAGGGAAAAGTGGTCCAGAAGAGCCCTTGTAGAAGCATATGTACCCCAATACTAGGCAAGATCCCAGTGAATTTCACAGATTCTAACGGTAGGACCGTTGAACTAAACTGTGAAGTCTGATAGTATTCATTGTTATTGACTATACTTGGGGCAGCAAAGTTGGCAAACGAATATTTCAGATTTAAAAAGATGTGAAATCTTCGAATTCTCCGAGAAAAGAACGCATATGAACTAATCAAAGTCTCGACCACTAGAAAATGTATTACCTACCCATACGTCAACTAGAAATACAGGGCCAATGTTGGAGTAAACAAATCTAGTTCCTAAGTTTAACGAGGAAATTGATGGAATAAGTACTAAATATCACGTCAGAGTCACAGATACGCCTCCCAGATACTCGGTCATTTAAGGGAGATTACTCACTATTAAATAATAAGTTCAGAATTGTTTAAATCTAGTAATTTAGATGACCTGTCGGTAGACCTACCATAATTTGTTGACGTCGTCGCCTTCAGAACCAGACAGGCATGCACAGGTGAAGGACTAAAATGACCTTGAGCCCTAAAATTACCCTTCTTTATGAGAGAAGACAATTTAAAATAAACGCTCAATTCCAGCACTTGAAAACTTTTATCTACCACAGCAGTCCGTGGTGACGAATTTAGTTTCGAATTGCAGCATAATTGATAATTACTGGAAGTCGCTACTAAGGGCACCACGATTGACAGTCAAGACTAAGGTCAGTAATTGACATGGATTAAAAAATAGGTTTTCATGCGCTAATAAGCCTCCAATGCTCAATTGAATTAACATACAGGGCAATGTAAACAATCGATGAGCAGAAAACAAATCAGACTTGGAAAGTGCTTAAAATAAGCTTGATAACCTTTTATAGAAAGTGAATTTAAACTTTAAAACTCAAGAGAGCTCCCAAATTGACTTCATTCCACACAGTATGAACAGGGTTTATTAAAGTGTGATAGATCAAGCTTTGTTTAATATCACGTGACTGCCATTCGTTCCCTGAAAGCATTTTCACCAAGTGAGAATAAAGTAATCACGTAAACTTTCGACTATAATTCCTCGTTTGTTTTAAACAAGCATTGGAATATCCCGTGTCATGTAGAAACATGAAATGTCGTTCCAATATGTCATGGAGCGAACATGCTAAAGCCATAGGTGGGATGAGTCATTTCGGCGTTTCGGGCATATGATTGGTTGACCAATTATAAGCTGAGACGGACACGCCAGCGTCACCGACGCCAGATGAATATGAAACTCCCATGATGACATTCCTGGCATTTTGATTTACCCACCTCTATTGGCTAGGTCTTGACAAATGCACCTAAGAAAATTTAATAGACAGCTTAAATGCAAAAACGGAATTAACTCAATTTCAAAAATTGGAAGAATTATGCCAGTTATGGTAACCGAGAGGAAGCAGATTGTTAGAACCGTTAAAGTTCATTAAAAGTATTGATTTTTAATATAAAATCCAGAAAAAACAGACACTCTATCAAATAAGGAAAAGATCTTTGAAGAAAAGCTCGTTATTAGAAACACCAATAAATTTTGCCCTCCCATTAAGCATAATAGCAGCTAAACTGTCTATACGTTTGTAGCAAAGATATCGACTAGCTAGCTGACTCGGGTTCATAATAGAATTAAAAGATAGTAGGACTCACAATAATTCGCAGATAAGAAGGTTAGAAGTGCGATTTGGTAAGCAGAAGTTAATCCACAGAGTTGGTATAGTAGTCCTTCACGAAAAAGATAAACAAATCTATTTTCCTTTTGAGGGTCGAACACAGCACGACTAGAAGTAGACGGTGTACGCCTTACGCGCGCCTAAATAGCGTCTTTCTCTTTCTCTATGCTTATCTCGATGCGCGTTAGCCTGAGTGCGTACGTTGGAGTTGCTTAACCTACGCGTCAGGCTGATTGGCTAGTGCACCACATCGATCATTTTTGACTGGTTGCGTGCATTAGTGCATAAACATGAATGTATGCAGTTGATTGGATCCTGATAACTTGGGTGTAAACCAATGGCTATACGCCCAGTGAGCGTAATTTTAGTGCTTACGAAGCGTGTTTCCTTCATCTTCCCTCTTTGCAAGTACTTGAAATATTCTCGAAACAATTTGCCATGTCGACTAAACATGGCAATTTAATGATTGGTTTATTAAATCCCCTCCTCTAAAAATCAATTTCTCTCTCTCCCTATCTATCTATCTATCTATCTATCTTGAGATGCTAGTCATGATTTTCGATGTCTTTACATTTTAGCGGAAGGTAAAGCTAACTATTTAGTAGAATTAACTTAATCAGACAAATTGGTAAATAAAGGAATTAGGACGAGTGATGTGCTTGTTCTGGAAGTTAAATATATACCCCTATCGGAGCTTAAGTACCTTAAGGGAATCATCGAATATCAATTCTAGTATTTAAAGACTACCACTTCGATGCGTTAAGGAAATTGTAAAAATTTAACAATTCGGACTAATAAGGTTATAAATTGCCACTAAGAGTGCAAAAGTTGAATAAGTTATGGTTATAGAAATCTAAGTGAAAATGAAGCAGGAAACGTGTACAGTAGTGTTATGATAGAGGAGAAATTAGAAGTCAAAACATTAGGAGCGCTACTTATCTTGAAAGATTAATTTATATCAAATGGTAGGCTTTATGATGTCTATCTTTAGCCCACTAGTTGACTTCGGGATCACAGGGGGGGAGGAACAGACAAAGTCACAAAGAGTCGAGGTGGGGGGGGGGGGGGGGGGGACAGAAGAGTGATTCACAGATGTAAAAGAGCCAAACTGGCACAAAGGAAGAGAAAAGGGTAAGGTGAGGTGGGTACTGTGGTAGTGGTCGAATGTGATATACAGTGTGGTCATAGAATTTTGAAGTGCGGAATCAACTCCCGGTAAATAGATTTTTTTGTTTTGAAGTGCGGAATCAACTCCCGGTAAATAGATTTTTTTGTTGTATGAGTATACGTTGCCCAGGTTGCACCACGTGGAGGTAAGCCTATCGCGCACCCCGTTTTCCTGAAAGGTGGAAGCGTTGAGTTGTTCTTATTTCTCATCCGAAGCCCACATTTTTGCTTAATGAGTTAGTGACTTCACTCCACACGTACGTATAAGAGGTTATCTTTACGATACTCACATCATTTTGGTTAATTTGCTTAACTGAAAACTGATCGCATTCAAAATAGGTGGTTAAGACTTGCAACAACAATTTTTTAAGCAGAAAAATCCTTATTGTGTGCTGAAATCACACAAAATCCTATTTAAATCTTCATAAAATTGAACTTGATGGAGCATTCTGGGCCCAAGGTGTTAGAATTTCTCATCTACTTAAATCGTTTTACATCTAGAATCAGTACAAAAAAGCAATTGAGGATTATTTATTACTATAAACAATGTGTCAGATGACCTTTTCGGACACACGTTTATTGTTCCCTACTGCTGGGAAGGATTTACCCCGCTTATCACATATCACCATTTAACTCCATCGAAAGCTGTGGCGGGGTTAGATATACCTCTGCAGTAAGAACAGCTGATGCTTAGAGATTGAAAGCTTTGGGCAAGAAGAGGTTTGTATTAATTGGAGAAGTCGACAATAGTAATGATGATTGCCGGTCCGCCTGATTTCCAAAAACTTGCCTACTTTACCCAACCGTGGAAAATTCTTTCAGAACTCCTTTCCATTCTCACAGGAACTCCCTTAATTCATTTGTGATGGTGGATGTGAATTGATTACGCAAGAAAAAGGCCAACGAGTATTTCTATCTAACGCAAATATTTTAAAAACTAGGTTGCCTGTCAAATTTGCCTAGCGACAGGATTCTTGTTGCTTATAATAAACGTGGAACAACATTCATCTGCTTAACCCCAATCAAATTTCTACCAATGGTAAAATCAGACAAGAGTGTGGGGTTGATTACAGTTCGTAGTTCCTTAGAGGTGAAAGATGAAGAGGAGGAAGAATAGACAATAGGCAAAAAACTCCCATTTTATTATTTACGACATGGAAAAGTGTTTGTTATAGCATTAATCACGAGACTGCATAGGAATACACAAAAAAGGGTTTAAACGAAGTGTAGAGGAGTACACATTGGTGGCTTTGCTTACTTCTTGAGGGATATTTTTCCCTTTTGCAATTTCCACAATTTCCAATGCTCTATTTTACTTATTAGATGTTTGGATTTCTAAATGAGTTCAGTTGGTGATCATATCACGTTTTATCTATTCGTCTTTCTACAGCAATGAACAGTGAGATGAAACATGGCATTCAATGCAATTCTCTCAAGGGGAACTTTAGAATAATGAAGCTATAATAAAGTTTTCAGTTCGCTTTGTCAATCGCCTTTGGTTTTGAGGCGGTAATGACGCATTTCACAGGCGTGAGAACAGCATTCATGAATATTTATTTGTATCAAATGGCAGGCTTTATGATAATTATCATTACCCCTTAAGTTGACTTCGGGAGGAACATCAAAGTCACAAGAAGTCGAACAGGGGAGGGGGTGAGGAGAAGAGTGATTCACAGATGTAAAAGAAACAGACAGACACAAGGGTAGAGAATAAGGTAAGATGAGTACTGTGAAAGTTGCCGAATATGACAAACAGTGGGTTCATGGTAGTTTGAAGTGAGAAGTCAACTGCCAGTTAATAGACTATTTTGCCGTATGAGTATACGTTGCCCAGGGTGCACCACGTGGAGGTAAGTCCAACGCACTCACCCCCCCCCCCCCCATTTATTAATATAATGTTGACAGCACCTTCAGAATTATTTATATTACTCTAAGCTATCAGTTGATGAAATACCGCTTTTGAAAGGTGAAGGCACGTAATGGTGCCCTATTCGCTTTGTCAGGAAGGGTGAATGTGAACTTTCGAGGAAAATGCAAACTCTGTTGCTTATGCAAATTTGCTCTTTCAAAAACACATTTTGGAATGATAGATGGCTTCTCTGTTTGAGAAGGCAGACGAGCACATTTAAATTGGCTTTTTTAGCTTCGATTGGAGACAAAAAAGTCGTACCAGGTTGCCATAGTTGGGGGTGGGGAGCGTCGTTTCAATTTCCATGCGCGGTTTGTTGTTGTCGCATTAAGAAGGTCATCTTTCAGGCTAACTCAGTGGTTCCAAACAATGGCTTTCAGTGTACTTGTCGCATATTCATCACTTTAAGTCATTTATAAATGCGTCACGGATCAATAAAATCTGCCCAATCTTGAGTCGAACATCGCCTACCCACCGCCTGTGGTAAAGGACGAAAGTACTATCATAAAATAAGTACTCATGGAATATGTTCCAATTCCTTCCTAACTTGTGTGCGTGGAGAAGTTGGCAAAATAATTTAGAGGGAAAGTAAGTTAACACGTTTTTTTTTCACTTTGCACTGGCGAACTTACTTTTAGCCCTGTTGGGAAGGCAAAATTGCATATTTTCGGTGCACTCGAGCGAAAATCGTAAGCTTCGTTTCTCATGCATTGGATTCTCCATCAACTGAACCTCTACACTCCATTGACATCAGTTTTGGAAGGCTCTGTCGACAACTCTGGCCACTAGTTTAGGTGTCGGAAAGAAATCCAAGGTTAGTGTGGAAACTAGCAGGCCTATTTGCCCTGGTGTTGTTTAATTTAAGGGATCCACTCACTGTGAAACAAAAACCCAATATCTCCAGTATTGAGTAACCTATAGATCACTCACCTTAAATCTAATTAACGAGGTTAATGAGTTTAAGAAAAGTGCAGACAATTCTCTAGGTTTGTATTCATGATTAGTTTAGATATCTGCATAATGACAAATATATTTTGTGCACGCAATGTAATGCTTCCTATGTGCAAAACACGTGCACGTTACAAAGACGGAGAAAGAAGACAAACGTCACAGAAGGTGGTTTCATCAGGAGATAATTTTGTTCCCAGTCTAGGTTTTCGAATACCACAACCGCAAACGTTCAAATAACTTTTCAATAGGCGCCTACTCCAATTCTCTGTAAACGAAAACGGGGTTTTCGAACTGCCCACCTCCTGGAACATTCATTGTCGTCAATACTCTAACCTCACCGGATTTGACATTTCTTCGAATCTGGAATATTCGTTAAAAAGATGAAGAAAGTGGACTGTTCATTAAAAAACTATCATTCACAGCAGGGCGAGCATTTTAACTTGCTTCATGCTAGAATAGTATTGAAACCCATGTTGGAAGTTAAAAATTAGGTTCAGTCAACAAAAGAGCCGTTGGAATCAGATTATGCACTTCAAACCTCGGGAAGAAAGCTCACTCCTTTGTCTAAATTTAAGAATATATACCCCTTCATCTGTGTGAATTTCTTTTTGATCGTCCATGGTCTGCTAGTCTACAGTTGGGCCAATCATCTCAGATCCAAGCTAAGATGATAGCAGGAAGAATGGGCTTGAATACACTGTCCGAATAGGCTTAGGTACAACACCAACGACTGCGAACGTCAGGTGAATGCTTCCATGGGCACGAAAATAAGCTTTACAGAGCTTTTTTAGTTCCCCAGCTCTCATACCATTATCTATTTTCTGAAATAGCCCATCCGTGTAGGGTTGAAATTTGAGGGGAGAGCCAAGTGGGTGTGCGATAGACTTACCTCCACGTGGTGCACTCTGGGTAACATATTCTCATACGACAAAATGTCTATAAACTGTCAGCAGATTTCTGACATCAAACTACCATGACCCCATTGTATGTCATTTTCGATCATTTCACAGTACTCATCTTACCTTTTCTCTGGCTTCGTGTCTGTCTGCCTCTTTTACATCTTAGAATCACTCTTCTGTT